GTCTGAAGAAAAAGGCTGGAATGATCCAGTCACTTCACATAGTCGACTTCAGCTGCTGAGTGGAGATTGGAGTGGAAACCTGACAAAGCGCGGCGCGTTGATGGGAAGCCGTACGGACAATGACCAGTGGCTGGGTCAGTGGGACGTGTGCGAGCGGGCGGGGCCGCTTATCAAACGACACTAAAAATAAGTCCAACAAACGTCAACTTCAGCGTGGGGGGGGCCACGCCGCGCCTGCCGAGGCCGGCCCACCCGTCTAATTATTCCTTTGTTCCCCCCCTCGTCCTGATTGGACGGCTGCTCTCCTCGGCTTTTCTGCATAAATTCACAGGTTAGCCTGTCGGACCCCCGGCTGCCGTCTGCGACTGTTTCACTGAGTCAACGAGGCGCCGACGCTCCTTTTATAACTTTTATTTGTTTTTCCTCACATCCTTAATTTATCCTGTTTTACATGTTTTTATAAAAACTGAGCACCTTAAAGTCAGCTTCAAAACCAAAACACCAAACAGCACTTCTTTCATTCTGGTTTTTATACTTTTTTAAAAAAGAATTTGTCGTGTTTCACACATTTATCTGTTGTCAAATAAAACAAATTGTAAAAAAAATTAAATAAAAAAAGGTTTTTCTCTTTTTTTAACATGTTGGTGCTGGTGGGAGAGAACGGGCTGGAGGCCATCTTTAATTGGGCCTTCACAGATTTATAGGGCCCGACAGTGAATGTGATTAGTGTGTGTGTGTGTCTGTGTGTGTGTGTGTGGACAGTGCAGTGGACAGTGTGTTTCCTCCTGTGAAGTCGGCACCGGAGGCTCCGGGCTCACAGATCCACCCTCAGAGGTTTTCAGCTCCCTGAAAATTCATCTGCAGGAAAACAAACAGACTCACCTTCTGCCTCGTTCACCTGTTCACGCTGCGATGAGGTGTGTACACACACACACACGCACACACACACACACACACTGACCCAGCAACTCACAAAATAAACACAAGAAGAAAAAATAGTTTTATAATCCTGGTGCATTTTAAAAAAAGGTTAAATTACGTCTGATCTGAAGTTTTAAATCAAATATCTTTATACAATCCAACACAACTTTATTTATAAAGAACTTAAACAACAACACCGTTGGCCAAAGTGCAGTAAACTAATAAAAACAAACAAAGTAAAATGAACCAATAATGTCATAAAAACAGCAAAAAATAAAAACGTCAAAACCAAACGTCTCAAATTGAGTCAAAATTAGAAGAAATGGTTTTAAGATTAAAAAATGTTCCGACTGAAACGTTTTAGTGAAAAAAAGCTTCATGAAGTGTAAAATCCTCCCTGAAAGTTTTATTTTAATTTTTATTCTAACTTTCTATGTTTTTTTATTTAAAAACAGCTATTAGCAGCTGGAAAATATCACAAAAGCTCAAATTAGCATAAAAGAACTAAACAGTAGCTTAAGTTGCAAAAAACAGCTGAAATAAGCATAAATAGCTAGCTTAAATTAGCAGAAATAAGCTGAAATAAACATAAAACTTTAGTTAAAAGAGCAGAAATATAGGTGAAAAGGTGATTTTTTTATGAATTTAAAAGGATCAGAAAGGTTTTTTAAAAAGAAGAAAGATTTAAAGGATGTTGAAACGACTTAATTCATTTTCTGCGAGAACAAAAATGGCTGCAGAAGCTAAATATGTCAAAAAAACAGAACATCTGAAATACTAAGAGTTACAGCTGGAGCTGCAGGTTTTTATACATAATTTGTTGAAATAAAACATAAACCGTACAGAAGAAAACTGCTTCTAAATAATAAAACCTTCAAATTAAAATCAGCTGCTGCCTGACAAAATAAAACCTATAAAGAAGTTTTAGTTGAACAAGTTTGTTAAATCAGAAGCTTGTTAATTATGATACATGAAATAAAGTCACATCTAATTCTTCCTTCTGTCTCGTTTATCAAGAAACATTCAAATTGTTGCGTCTAAAGAACAAATGAAGAATTAATCCCCACAAAGAAAAGCCAAGAAAATCAGTTTCAAGTTTCTCTGAGAAAACAAGCAGTTGGACGGAGGTTTGTTAGAGCTGGGCTCAAACTCTGCCTCCGCTTTCTGACAAACTTTATTTATTTATTTATTTTAGTCTTTTTGACCACAGTGATCCAACAACTGTCACTCCCTGAGTTCTGGTCCAGATCTGTGGCTTCAAATCCAACAGCTGACAAGTTTTACAAGCAGATTCAGCAAATTTACATTGTTTTATAGATCTGCAACGTTTAACAGTTAAGATAAAACAATAATTAAATCTTTTTTTTTTCCACACAGATTTAACTCAGACACGTGGAACAATAATTTATTAAATCAGTTTTAGTTTGGAGCTCAGATCCTCCGACAAGTTTAACAAAACCTCAGAAATGTATAATGTTGAGTATTTGACTCCAAATCTGCACATTACTTTTTAAATCTAGCGGACGTGTACCATAATTCAAACAGGACTAACAATGAGAATTATAATAAGGGAAACAAATATAATAATTTCAAGAATTTGCTGATCTGGTAAATATCACAATACAGGGCTCATGATATATTATGATATATGATATATTGTGATGCATCACGATAAATCATGATATATCATATAATATATCATGATATATTATATGATATATCACGATATAGCATCCTGATATATCGCGATATATCATCATGATACATTGTGAAATATCACGATATATTATGATATGATATCATGATATATCATCATGATATATCACGATGATATATCGTGATATATCACGATATATCATATATATCACGATATATCATCGTGATATATCGTGAAATACTATGATATAATATATCGTGATATATCATGATATATCATGATGATATATCATGATATATCACGATGATATATCGTGATATATATGATATATCGTGATATATCACGATATATCATCGTGATATATCATGATATATCGTGATATAGCACGAAATGATATATCATCGTGATATAGCACAGTATGATATATCGTGATATATCATACTGTAAGGTAAGGGAGGTGATATATCGCCTTTTATTCTACAAAAGATTCTAATTTTAAAATGAGTTCAGTTTATTTTTATGCAGTCAGAAGAACACTTCATTTATATTTCACATTTAATTTTTTAGCCTTAATAAAAAAATACCGTATTGGAAAATGAAAATATCGCGATATTTCAATGTATCGATATTTTCTTACGGCCCTATTAAATATTCAGCATTTTTTAATTTTTTAAAGGAATGAATTTGACTTTATTAGATTTTATCTTTAATCTCTGTTTTATTTCACATCATCTGTTAGCTGAAGTGTTGTGAGTGACTCAGCTACTGCCAGACTAAATGTTAGCTCTTTATCTGCAGAACTGACCTGCTGTATGTTTGTTTGCTGTGGCGGCCATCTTGAATTGGGTTTTTTCTCAGGAGTTTGATGCACAACAAACAGCAAATGATTAATTTCTAAAAGCTTTATTAAAATCCATACAGTGATTCATGAGATATTTTGCTAACAGACACACCTAAAATTTTCTTGTTTTTAATGCGTCTTTATTTTGTTTACAATAACTCGGATCAAAAAGGACTTCC